ACCTTGATTAGCATTAGATAGCCTGGCAGTGCCTGGGGCAATCTTTTGTCATTGATTGAGGTACTGGGTTTGAGCCTGCCACTTTTGGACTCTCGCTTGCTGAGTTGTTCCAGCGAGTGTCTCTGTAGATCTTAGAATTTCTTGATTTAAGTCGTTGACGTGCTGGCTGATACCCAAACAGGGGATGAGCTGGAGATGTCACTGCCTTGGTCCTTTCACTATTTGCTGCTACTTCCCGGGATACAGTCAGGTGGTGTAGTTTCTCCAGTGGTGTAGGGCGCAGCCACCCCTTGATAATGCGGCATGTCTCATTAAGAGCCACATCCACTGTTTTAGCGTGGTGAGGTGTGTTCCACACTGGGCATGCGTAGGGGGACATGAGAGAAGACTCCTCGCAGGATTGCAAGACATCCGGGTGTCCCCTGGGCAACGTCTTCATAGACGGCTGATTCTCTCACTCCAGAAGCTCACCAGAAGGAAAAGAGATTAAAAGATGGGATTAAAACCAACCTTAAAAACTCTGGCATAGACACCGAGAACGGGAAAGCACTGGCCCTTGAGCGCTTTAATTGGAGGTCAGCTGTGACCAGCAGTGCTGCATAATTTGAATAGGCACGAATGGAGGGCGAAAGGGAGAAACGTGCCAAGAGGAAGACGCATCATGCCAACCCTGACTGGGACCGCCTTCCACTTGGAAACCAATGTCCTCAGTGCGGGAGAACATCCAGATCAAGAGTAGGGCTCCACAGCCACATATGGACCCACCACCAAGACACTACACTTGGAGTACCATCACCCTTGGGCTATGAGGGATCGCCTACAGGAAGTAAGCACAGCCAATATGCAATCAAACAGAAACCCTAGTCAAACATTTTGCAACCAAGAACAAACACAAAGAGCTGTGGTGTTGTAGTGATCTGAGTGTCGGATAATTTATTATTATTTATTATTTATTTACTTCACTTGTATACCGCACTTCTCAGCCCTAGGGCGACTCAGTGCGGTTAACAACAAACAATACAATGTACACAATAGCAATCACTAGACATTTAAAAACAGTAACATAGCAGTTAATTAAACAGCAAACATCAATACATCAACAATAGAACCATCACGTCTCATCAATGAAATCAGAGTCCAGTACATTATCCAGTATTCCGTTCCAATAATCTATTGCACTCAATTACGCTGATTGGTTGAATGCCTGTTCGAAGAGCCAGGTCTTCACACTCTTCCGGAATGCCAGTAAGGAGGGGGCCGATCTGATATCTGTGGGAAGGGCGTTCCACAGCCGAGGGGCCACCACCGAGAAGGCCCTGTCTCTCGTCCCCGCCAGGCGTGCTTGTGAAGCTGGCGGGACCAAGAGCAGGGCCTCCCCAGACGATCTTAACATCCTAACTGGTTCATAGGAGGAGATGCGTTCGGACAGGTAGGTCGGGCCAGAACCGTTTAGGGCTTTAAAGGCTAAAGCCAGCACTTTGAATTGTGCCCGGTAGCAAATTGGCAGCCAGTGGAGCTGGTACAACAGAGTTAAACATGATAAGTGTGTCATGTTTGAATTCCTGCTTGGGCGTGGAAATATATGGGGGCACCTTGAAGCCGCTGGGGGAGATCATTCGGAGTTTCGGACTGAGATGTTATCTCTACGCAGATGATGTCCAGATCTGTCACTCCTTCTCACCTGTCACCAAGGAGGCTGTCCAGACCTTGAATCGGTGTCTAGCTGCTGTGTCTGACTGGATGAGAGCTAACAAATTGAAATTGAATCCAGACAAGACAGAGGTCCTACTGGTCAGTCGTAAGGCCGAACAGGGTATAGGGTTACAGCCTGTGCTGGACGGGGTTACACTCCCCCTGAAGACGCAGGTTCGCACAACATGAACTAAACACTAGGCCTGTGCAGTTTCGTTCGTTAATTCGTTAATTCGTTATTAATTCGTTATTTTTAGCATTTCCGAAGCGATATTAAAACATATTTCCAAACCCGGAAGGGTTTTTAAATATCGAACCAGCAACCCCCATAGATTTAACGAGCCTCCGCTCGTTTCGTTAATGGGGTGGAGGCTGCTGGAGTGCTGGTGCCTGGGAGCCAATCCGGCGCTCCCAAGCAGTGCACCATGGGTCCGTGGCTGTCTGTTTTTGATTGGCCGGCGAGCCCTTTCAAAGCGGCTCCGCGCGGCCCGTAGCTTGCTGCAGAGGGCGAGGGAGTTTGCATTGGGTTGGCTTGGCAATGGCTGCTAGCAACTGGGATTGGATTCATTCCTTGCTGCTGTGAGTGCTGCTTGCTTCATTTGCTGTCTCTTGCCTGTGTTTGGTCCACATTTGGGCCATTTTTTGGTTAATTTTCCATTTTAAAATATTTTTAATATTATTTTTAATATTATTTTTAATATTATTTTTAATATTTTTTAATATTATTTTTTAATATTATTCTTAAAAAATATTCTAAAAAAGAAAAGACTCTTCTGTTGGTGTGTGCTCTCATTTGCTGTATCCTGCCTGTGTTTGGTCCACATTTGGGCCATTTTTTGGTTAATTTTCCATTTTAAAATATTTTTTAATATTATTTTAATATTATTCTTAAAAAATACAAAAAATATTCTAAGAATTCGTTAATATTTACGAAATTTCGTAAATACCAAAACTTTTTTGGGAAAGTTTTGTAATTATTTTAAATATCGAAACAAAAAAACACCCCAATTACAAATCGATTTTAGAAACAAATTTTTTCTTGATCAAACAGGCCTACTAAACACGTTAGACCAAAAAATAACATGGCTACAATACTGGCAAATTAAAGAAAGATTCAAAAAAGATAAGGAAATAGGGTTTAATCTAGAAAAAAATTTCTGGGACAAAATAATGGAATCAGGGGAAAAACTGATAACGAAAATATATAAGAAATTACTTGAATGGGAATTAGAGTCAAAAAAGGGCGAAACATACATGAGGAGATGGAATGAAAACCTAGGAAGAACAATTAGAAAAGAAGAATGGGAGGAGGCCTGGAGGAGAAGACTAAAATACTGTTATGCGACGGATCTAAAAGAGAATTGGGCAAAGATCGCGTATAGATGGTACATGACGCCAAAGAAATTGGGGAAGACCTACAAAAATATGACCACGAAGTGCTGGAAATGTGGGGAAACAGAAGGGTCGTTCTACCATATGTGGTGGTCGTGCCCAAAAGCGAAAAGATACTGGAAGGAAGTACAAAGAGAAGTGCAAAAAATACTGAAGATTAACATCCCCTGGAGACCAGAGATATTCCTACTAGGAATGCAGGACTTTGAAATCGACCAAAACTCGGATAAATTGATGTTCCTGATGATGACAGCAGCCAGAATCTGCTACGCGCGAAAGTGGAAGCAGAAAGAAATTCCGGATGAAGACGAACGCTTAACGAAGATACTGGAAATTAAAAACATGGACCGACTTACCTCTCTCATATTAAGGAATAAAGGCATTAACAGGAAAGATACAAACTGGGAGAAGGTGTCAGAATACTTTAAAGAAAGAAACAAGAAGATCCTAACAAAGTAACAAGATAAAAACTACTGAAAATGAAATCTAAGGAAACGAGAGGGAGAAAGGAATAGATAAGAAACGGAAGAAGGTGAAAGAGGAGACGAGGAAGAGGAAAAGAAGAGACCCTTATGATGATACCGGGAAGTCACAAGCTTTTATTTTCTCTTAATTCCCTCCCCCCCCCCACCGCCATCCCAAATCTTTCCCTTCCCCCCTGTTACCTCACCACCCTTCCCACCCCTCCCTCCCCCACCACTCCTTGCCCACCGCCCCGTACCCCTCCCAAATCCCCTCTTGTTTTTAATTACTTGTGAAAAACTTAATAAAGATTATAAAAAAAAAAAAGACGCAGGTTCGCAGCTTGGGAGTGATCCTGGACTCATCGCTGAGCCTGGAACCCCAGGTCTCAGTGGTGGCCGGGAGAGCTTTTGCGCAATTAAAACTTGTGCACCAGTTGCGCCCGTACCTTGGGAAGTCTGATCTGGCCACGGTGGTCCACGCTCTTGTTACATCCCGAATAGACTACTGCAACGCTCTCTACGTGGGGTTGCCCTTGAAGACTGTTCGGAAACTTCAACTTGTCCAGCGAGCGGCAGCTAGATTGCTCACTGGAGCGACATACAGGGAGCATACCACCCCCCTGTTGTGCCAGCTTCACTGGCTGCCGATTCAGTTCCGAGCACAATTCAAGGTGCTGGTTTTGACCTACAAAACCCTATACGGTTCCGGTCCAGTGTATCTGTCCGAACGTATCTCCCTCTACGTCCCACCCCGGAGTCTGAGATCATCTGGGGAGGCCCTGCTCTCGACCCCACCACTGTCACAAGTGAGGCTGGTGGGGACGAGGAGCAGGGCTTTCTCAGTGGTGGCCCCTCACCTGTGGAACTCACTCCCGGGGGAAATCAGGGCATCATCATCCCTCCTCTCCTTCAGGAGGAGGGTGAAGACGTGGTTATGGGACCAGGCCTTTGGGCACTCTGGCAATTAAATTAGACAATCAGCGAGTAAGACCAACAGGATTGATGAAGTGGAACATAAAACTAGATCTATGAGTTAGCGAACGCTGACCATGTAAGAGGAGAAATTGGGTTTGTATAGGTTTTATTGATTTTATGGTTATAATGCATGAACTGTTATTAATTGCGAATTGATGTAATTTTGTGTATGATTGTTTTATGATGCAGGCATCGAATTGTGCCTTTGCCTTTGTAAGCCGCCCTGAGTCCCCTTCGGGGTGAGAAGGGCGGGGTAGAAGAACCCCAAATAAATAAATAAATAAATAAATAAGTCACCCGCTCTCAGTGTCAATGGCAAATCCCTATAAACCAATCTCATCAAGAAAACTCCATTTGCTCGCCCCAAGGTCCCCGAAAGTCGAGAAACAACCTGATGACACAGTAACAAGAAGATCATTGAATTCCAAGTAGAAACCCTTAGATCCTGAGCTGACACATCTCTCTCCTCTCTCTTACCTCTTCCTTTCTGGACTCTAGAATTCAGAAGCTGGGCTGGAACAGAATCTGCTCCTCTTTGGGCTCCTGCCTTTGCCTAGAAACCTCACACAACTTGCCCAAAGAGTCCAGGCCAGCAGAAGAGCAGCAGATCATGGGGTTTCTGCAGAGCTGCAAAGCATTGCCCTTTGCTCTCATGTGTTTCTGCAAATCATAGCTCTGCAAAGAAAGAACCCCTCTGCTTCTCCAATTGGGACTTTTCCCCTCCCATTTCCTGGTTCCAACAGGGGCAGAACGACAAGCAGAGTCTCTATGATTGGTCTAAAGAGGCTGCATGCAGAGTTTTCTTGCTCAGGGATTGAGAGCTGCCTTCTCTGCTGTAACACACATGGTGTTTTGAGTCTGCGATTCCCAGGCTGGACAGTAGAGGGCGTCCGGTTCTCAATCTCCTTGAGGTCCAACTATGGACCTCAAGTGTCTTAAATTGGCTTATGATGACCCCATGGGTTTAGTGGAGTTTTCTTAGGCAAGGAAGACTTGGAGTTTGGTTTTGACAGTTCCTTCCTCAAAAATAGAGTCACCAGCCTGTTATTTCTTCCGAGCTTGCAGAAGATGCTTTGTTTTGAACATCCAGTTCAGAATTCTGGGAATAACCTAGGTAAAAGGTAAGGTAAAGGTAGTCCCCTGACATTAAGTCCAGTCATGTCTGACTCTGGGGTGTGGTGCTCATCTCCATTTCTAAGCCGAAGAGCCAGCGTTGTCCATAGACACCTCCAAGGTCATGTGGCCGGCATGACTGCATGGAGCGCCGTTACCTTCCCGCCGGAGCGGTACCTATGGATCTACTCACATTTGCATGTTTTCGAACTGCTAGGTTGGCAGAAGCTAGGGCTGACAGCGGAAGCTCACGCCGCTCCCCGGAATCGAACCTGCGACCTTTCGATCAACAAGCTCAGCAGCTCAGTGCTTTAACCCACTGTGCCACCGGGGGCTCCCTGGGAATAACCTACATACAGTATATTCTGGCGTATAAGACTACTTTTTAACCCAAGAAAATCTTCTCAAAAGTCAGGGGTCGTCTTATACGTGGGTGTAGTCTTATGCATGGGAGTCGTCTTAACTCTATATTTTAACTGGAAAAGTTGGGGGTCGTCTTATACACCCAGTCGCCTTATATGCCGGAATATACGGTAAATATATAATGTAAAGTTCGTTTGTGGGATTAACTAAACTCAAAAACCACTGGACAAATTGACACCAAAGTTGGACAGCGTACACCTAACAATCCAATGTATGTCCTTCACTCAAAATGTTTTGATTTTGTCATTTGGAGTTGTAGTTCATAGAATCATAGAATCAAAGAGTTGGAAGAGACCTCATGGGCCATCCAGTCCAACCCCTGCCAAGAAGCAGGAATATTGCATTCAAATCACCCCTGACAGATGGCCATCCAGCCTCTGTTTAAAAGCTTCCAAAGAAGGAGCCTCCACCACACTCCGGGGCAGAGAGTTCCACTGCTGAACGGCTCTCACAGTCAGGAAGTTCTTCCTCATGTTCAGATGGAATCTCCTCTCTTGTAGTTTGAAGCCATGGTTCCATTGCGTCCTAGTCTCCAAGGAAGCAGAAAACAAGCTTGCTCCCTTCTCCCTGTGGCTTCCTCTCACATATTTATACATGGCTATCATATCTCCTCTCAGCCTTCTCTTCTTCAGGCTAAACATGCCCAGTTCCCTAAGCCGCTCCTCGTAGGCTTGTTCTCCAGACCCTTGATCATTTTAGTCGCCCTCCTCTGGACACATTCCAGCTTGTCAATATCTCTCTTGAATTGTGGTGTCCAGAATTGGACACAATATTCCAGGTGTGGTCTAACCAAAGCGGAATAGAGGGGTAGCATGACTTCCCTAGATCTAGACACTATGCTCCTATTGATGCAGGCCAAAATCCCATTGGCTTTTTTGCCGCCACATCACATTGTTGGCTCATGTTTAACTTGTTGTCCACGAGGACTCCAAGATCTTTTTCACACGTACTGCTCTCGAGCCAGGCGTCCCCCATTCTGTATCTTTGCATTTCATTTTTTCTGCCAAAGTGGAGTATCTTGCATTTGTCACTGTTGAACTTCATTTTGATAGTTTAGTTCTTGGGATTTATAGTTCATCTACATTCAAAGAGCATTCTGAACTCCACCAATGATGGGATTGAACCAAAGGCGACACACAGGACTCCCTTGACCAACAGAAAAGTCTAGAAGGGTTTGGTGGGCATTGACCTTGAGTTTGGGAGTTGTAGTTCATCTACATCCAGAGAGCACTGTGGACTCAAACAATGATGGATCTGGACCAATCTTGGCACGAATGCTCCATATGCCCAAATGTGTACACAGATGGAGTTTGGGGGAAATAGACCTTGACATTTGGGAGTTGTAGTAATTGGGATTTATAGTTCACCTACAATGACAGAAATTTCTGTACCCCACCAACGATAGAATTGTTCCAAACCTCCCACACAGAACCCCCATGTGGGCCACAGCAACACGTGGCAGGGGACGGCTAGTCTATATAAATAAAAATGTAATGTTCGTTTGTGGGATTAACAGAACTCAAAAACCACTGGACAAATTGATACCAAATTTGGACACAAGACACCTAACAACCCAATGTATGTCCTTCACTCAAAAAAATAGATTTTGTCATTTGGGAGTTGTAGTTGCTGGGATTTATAGTTTTTAAATATTTTTAAAAACTCAACCTGGGGGTCGGGACCCCTGGGGGCCTTGCGAGGGGGTGTCATAGGGATCACCAAAGACCATCAGAAAACACAGTGTTTTTTGTTGGTCATGGGGGTTCTGCGTGGGAAGTTTGGCACAATGCTATCATTGGTGGGGTTCAGAATGCTCTTTGATTGTAGGTTAACGAAAAATCCCAGCAACTACAACTCCCAAACCTCAAGGTCTATTTTCCCCAAACTCCACCAGTGTTCACATTTGGGCATATTGAGTATTCATGCCAAGTTTGGTCCAGATCCATTGTTTGAGTCTACAATGCTCTCTGGATGTAGGTGAACTACAACTCCAAATTCAGGGTCAATGCTCATCATACCCTTGCAGTATTTTTTGTTGGTCATGGGAGTTCAGTGTGCCAAGTCTGGTTCAATTCCATCATTGGTGGAGTTCAGAATGCTCATTGATTGTAGGTGAACTAAAAATCTCAGCAACTACAACTCTCAAATGTCAAGGTCTATTTTCCCCAAACTCCACGACTGTTCACATTTGGGCATATTGAGTATGAACTGTTTGTGGGGGGTATAGGATTGAAAAATCAATCCTATACCCCCCACAATTACAGTTGTGATGTAGCAACAAAAATAATTGTATGGTTGCGGTCACCACAACATGAGGAAGTGTATTAAGAGGTCATGGCATTACGAAGGTTGAGAACCACTGTTGTCGGGAAATCCTGGCTTAATCTGTTCTCACTTATTTGTCTTTTTTTCACAATTCACAGTTTAATTTGGCTCTAGGACCAATAGTTTTCTCTTTTATAATGTGTAGAAGTTTTCCCCTGCATCATGATAAAAATTAGTCTTTTTGGGTTGTTGTAGGTTTTTTCGGGCTGTATGGCCATGATCTAGAGGCATGATGGCGAACCTATGACACGCGTAGCCATTTTTGATGACACGCGGCCACATGCAGCCACATGCAGCCACATACACAGAAGAATGGGGCTGCATCCTGAGAAGGACATTTCATCCTCAGCTCCTGCACCAGCATTTTTCTATAATGCCGAGATATATGACATTATAGAAAAAAGCAGGTAAGTTAAATAATTAGTTTTTGGTTTATTAAATACAGTTATATATTACAATAATATATTTTTGTTATATTGGTTTTTTTCTCGAAGTGACACCCGACCTGAGTTATGCTCAGTTTTTTGGCGAGTTTTGACACACCAAGCTCAAAAAGGTTGCTCATCACTGGTCTAGAGGCATGCTCTCCTGATGTTTCGCCTGCATCTATGGCAAGCATCCTTAGAGGTAGTGAGGTCTGTTGGAATTTCAATTTCAACAGAAAGGAGGAAACAATGAAAATGAACGAAATATGGCTACCAGTATTAAAAAAAACCTCTAAAATTAGAACAGCACAACAACAGAGAGGAAACCAACAAACAAGGACATCTAATCACCTCTCAACAAAAGATTGCTCTAGGCACAGTCAGGCCATTGTATGCTAATCAAGGTGATCAGTTGAAACATTCACACCTATCTCCAGCAGACAAAAGTCCTTTGTCTCACCCTGGTCATTCCACAGATATATAAACCCTTTTTCCTAGTTCCAATAGATCTCACTACCTCTGAGGATGCTTGCCATAAATGCAGGCGAAACGTCAGGAGAGAATGCCTCTAGACCAGTGGTTCTCAACCCCTTAATACAATTCCACATGTTGTGGTGACCCCCAACCATAACATTATTTTCGTTGCTACTTCATAACTGTAATTTTGCTACTGTTATGAATCATAATGTAAATATCTGACATGCAGGATGTATTTTCATTCACTGGACCAAATTTGGCACAAATACCTGATATGCCCAAATTTGAATACTGGGGCTGGCGGGGGGATTGATTTTACCATTTGGGAGTTGTAGTTGCTAGTTCACCTACAACCAAAGAGCATTCTGAACTCCACCAGTGATGGAATTGAACCAAACTTGGCACACAGAACTCCCATGACCAACAGAAAATACTGGAAGAATTTGGTGGGCATTGACCTTGAGTTTTGGAGTTGTAGTTCTCCAGAGAGCACTGTGGACTCAAACAATGATGAATCTGGACCAAACTTGTCATGAATTCTCAATATGCCCAGTTGTGAACACTGCTGAAGTTTGGGGAAAATAGACCTGGACCTTTGGGAGTTGTAGTTGCTGGGCTTTATAGTTCACCTACAATCAAAGAGCACTCTGAACGCAGCCCACAATGGATCTGTACCAAACTTGGCACACTACCTACATGGCCAACACTGAATACTGGTGGGGTGGGGGCTGTTTTTGAATTCTGGGAGTTGTAGTTCACCAACACCAAAAAGGAAGAGAAGGGCAGGCAGAGAGATCTTCAGTCTTGTCTGCCAAAGGGGTTCCTAAGACCATCAAAAATCTGTTTTTTTTTTCTAATGGTCTTTGGCGACCCCTCTGAAATCCCCTTGCGACCCCCCTAGGGGTCCTGACCCCCAGGTTGAGAAACACTGCTCTAGACCATGGCCATACAGTCCGAAAAAA